CAACATCAGGTCCTTATGCAAACACTATGATGACGACCTGGCACTCCTTGAGTCACTAAAGACACCCTTCTCCTGCATTATTCTTACGGAGACCTGGCTTAAGCAGGACACAATAGATATCTACCCTCTACCAGGATACACAGCAATCCACAACTGCAGACCATACCAAGCTGGGGGTGGTATTGCAATCTATTACTCTAACCAACTATCTTGTATTAGCACCACTTGCTTTAGTGATGAATATGGAGAATACATTTTTGCTAATTTTACTGTAAAAAACCTTAAGACGCCTATAATAATCGGTGCCATTTACCGGATACCCCACACAAACATCCCAAATTTCAGTGTGAAATTAAAGGCACTAATAACAAACAGACAAATGAACAAGCACCACCTTCTCTTAGCCAGAGACTTCAATATCAACCTTGGCCTACTAGATGATCAGCCTTTAACTGATTTCATCAACAATATGAACAACACACTTCTCATACCAACAATAACTAAACCAACCAGGTTTATAACCTGTCATTTCTGTCAGACCTGGTTTCGTTGGAGAAGTGCAGCATGTTTAACAGCAAGATAAATCTGGTCACTGGGATATCACTGAATGCTGGAGTAGAAATGAGCCCATCTATGGACCAGTATGATTTTATATTATGCTTACAGACATGAGGCATAAGCATTATTGTTGCAAAAAACAAATGCATCTCAGCCACACTTGTCTCCTTCCACTGGTGTAGTCTTAACTGTGGTGAAATCATTGTATTTGCCATGGTGTAATCAAAATACTTGTTACTTTCCTTGACAATATTTTCCATCAAGGTTCCATCAGTTCACTTGCTGTGTTTCCAAGGGAACAAGATGGCAGGAATCCACTTTGAGTGTTATCAAATTGATGGGGATTGGGAACAAAATTGAGATTTTGCTGCCAATCCCAGATGCAGTTTGCTGGTCCAGGTTGTGGTGAGGGGCTAGATGACAATGCGCTTTGTCCTGGACCTGCTGAGTCAGTGGCTTGGGTCCCAGCCTAGGCTGGTACTGCACATCTGTGGCACCATCACCACCTACTGGAGCATGTGGTCTATCTATCCCAATTGTGGCCACATTGTCACTTTCACTATCTATTCCAGATGTAGGTCCATGGGATGTACTCCGTCCCCTTACTACTGTATATGGTACACCACCTAAGAGCGTGCGGCATGGTATAAACCAACACTACCCAAGAGCATGCGGCATGGTATAAACCGCCACTTCACTGGTGAATATGCTTCCTCACTATCACTATTCGAATGGTCATCAAGAGCAGTAAAAATATCTATGTCACTATCATCACCATTACTCAAATCTGAAGCCTGGACACACAAAAATATTAGTTTTCTCTTGCTATGAGGTACAACTGTACGTGACTGAGACGCACCAGCAGCAGAGGTGGAAGGCTGAGGGTCATCAGGATTTTAGGCACTATTTTCAATAACCTGAGCATTGCTTTTGGTCACAAACTGTTCAAAATCATAGAATTCCTCTTCAGATCCACTTCAATCAGTGTTTGAACTATCACTTGGGAAGAGGAGATTACCATTTCGCCAGGGAGCGAGGGCTTCCTTGCCACAAGTCATGAACAAAGCATACCGAGATGGCATTCCCGCAATGCAATGCGAGTGCCCCAATTTTTTGTTTACTGCTCACATTGACCACATAGTCCCATTCTCTTAGATGTAGGCCTACCAGCCTTCTCGTGCTAAATTTGAAGCCACTAAAATTATGGTGTAGTTCTACGGCTTGCACCCTGGCTTCAAAGTTGTAGAACTACAAGACGGACCCTCAAAGGGTTATACGTACATGTATAAAAAAAAATCTTATAAAATGACAATCTTTTTTCCAAAGGTAATGAAACCAAAAGTACGAAATTTTATGGAAAACTTATGGAATTACGCTGTCACAAAGTTCACGGTCTCAGCAATACTAATGTACTGGCGATTTCACCCTATTTTGGGCCAATTCCACTGCTCCAGTCAGCCAAACTCATAGCTATTTCGCTAGAACTCCTTTTATTCTTTTGAATGAGTACAAGAAACTGCCCATTTACTTATTTGAACTAACCAATAAATCATCAGAAATTACTAGTTTGGTCAATTTCAAAACAGGGTCAAGAATAAATAACAAACATTCCTGGCACTAAAATAACATTTTCTCTCTTCATTAGTCACATCTCCAGGCCCCTCTTATATTACGCTTGCTTTTTATTCTAACTCCACAAGACTTTGAAGAGGCAATAAATGACATGCCCATGCACTCTGCCCCAGGCCCAGACTCATGGAACTCGGTGTTCATCAAAAACTGCAGGAAGCCCCCTATCGAGTTCCTTCAGCATTTTATGGAGAGGGAGCATGGACACAGGGGTCATCCCACACACACTAAAAAAGACAGGAATAGCCCCACTCCACAAAGGTGGCAGTACAGCAATTGCAAACAACTACAGACCGATAGCACGAACATCCCATATCATAAAAATCTTTGAGAGGGTTCTAAGAAGCAAGATCGCTAACCACCTAGATACCCATCAATTACACAATCCAGGGCAACACAGGTTTAGAGCAGGTCACTCCTGCCTGTCCAAGCTACTGGACCACTACGACAATGTCCTGGATGCTGTAGAGGATAAACAAAATACAGACGTAGTATACACAGACTCTGCCAAAGTTTTCGACACGTGTGACCATGGTGTAATAATACACAAAAAGCAGGATAAAGGAATAACGGGAAAAGCTGGTAGATGGATCTACAACTTCCTGACAAATAGAACACAGAGTAACAGTAAACAGAGTAAAGTCCCAGGTAGCCACGGTAAAAAGCTCTGTTCCACAAAGCACAGTACTCCCTCCCATTCTATTCCTCATCCTCATTTCTGACAGAGATGTAAGCCATAGCTTTGTGTCTTCCTTTGTGCATGAAACCCAGATTACTATGGCAGTGACCTCCATTGAAGACACAGCGAGACTCCAAGTGGACATCAACCAAATCTTCGAATGTGCCACTCAAAACAATATTAAGTTTAACAAGGAGAAATTTCAGCTACTCAGATATGGGAAATTTGAAGATATTAAAACTGTATCAGGATATACAACAAATTCTAACCATACAATAGAGAGGAAAAGTAATGAAGGACCTGGAAGTGATAGGGTCAGAGGATCTCGCTTTCTAAGACCACAAAAATGTATCTACCCCATCCACTAGGAAAATGATAGAATGGATAATGAGAACCTTCGAAACTAGGGATGCCAAGCCCATGATTCTCTTCAAATCACTTGTGCTCTCTAGGCTGGAATACTGCTGTACACTAACAGCCCCCTTCAAGGCTGGCAACATTGCAGACCTGGAGAGTGTACAAAGAAATTTCATGGCACACACAATTACGATAAGGCACCTCAATTACTAGGAATGGTTGAAGGTCCTTGATCTGTATTTCCTTGAACGCAGGCGAGAGAGATACATGATAATCTACACCTATTAAGTCCTACAGGATCTGGCACCAAACCTGCACAAGAAAATCACTCCCTATGAAAACAAAAGACTCGGCAGGAGATGCAACATTCCCCCAATGAAAAGCAGGGGCGCCATGAGTACATTGATAGAGAACACAATAAGTGTCTGGGGCCCAAGACTGTTCAATTGCCTCCCAGCATACATAAGGGGGATTACCAATAGACCCCTGGCTGTCTTCAAGAAGGCACTGGACAGGCACCTAAATTCAGTACCTGATCAACAGAGCTGTGGTTCGTACGTCAGCTTACGTGCGGCCAACAGTAACAGCCTGGTTGATCAGACCCTGATCCACCATGAGGCCTGGTCTCAGACCGGGCCGCAGGGGCGTTGACCCCCGAAACCCCTCTCCAGGTAAACTTGAGGTACACAAAAGAAATAGAAGATTTACTGTTATTCAGACTATTGCATAAATGTAATAATTTTATAAATATTATCAGCGCATTCATGAATGCATGTCAGACTGGCCAGTTGCTGTGTAGTGGACGCATGACATGATTTGTTTACTCTTGAACATCGTCAAAAATCTATACATTTCCGTTACTTTGGGCTCAATTTCAAGCTACTTTTATTCTGTAAAAAAATCAAAATCATCTTCATTTCTATAGTATAACTTCCATTCTATCAAATGGGACCAAAAAAATGAGAATTCAACCATAAATACCATACAGAAATACACCACAAAGTCGCTGTGTTAAACCAAAAACAGTTGCAGTTTTTTCATTATGCACTGCATGCTCCAAGATCTCTTTTATACTGTGCACATTAACCACACAGACCCATTGTCTCATGTGTAGGCCTGGCTACCCCGCAAGACTGGAAGCTGCTAGAATTTTGTAGTAATATTTCTCTCGTCTATTATTAACCCTCTTCGGTGTTGGTCCTGTAATATTACAGCTTTGAAGCCAGTGTCGGTCACGTAATATTTTTTTATTTATTATCACACTGGCCAATTCCCACCAAGGCAGGGTGGCCCGAAAAAGAAAAACTTTCACCATCATTCACTCCATCACTGTCTTGCCAGAATGGTGCTTTACACTACAAGACAGTGATGGAGTGAATGATGGTGAAAGTTTTTCTTTTTCGGGCCACCCTGCCTTGGTGGGAATCGGCCAGTGTGATAATAAATAAAAAAATATGTGACCGACACTGGCTTCAAAGCTGTAATATTACAGGACCAATACCGAAGAGGGTTAATAATAGACGAGAGAAAAATGCACTATGCATTTTCTGAGGTGTTATGTGGTAAAAATAACATAACTGAACATGAAGTGAGATAGTAGAAGAACCTTCATATAAAAAAAAGCAAGAATACAGAAAAAGGAAGTCACTGACAACAGAAAGTATTTGGTAATACATCCTTGGGTAACTCAGGCTAGTCTAATACAAGTTTGTCAATGAATAAAAATTCAGACATTATCTATATTCTAACAATTATTGGTATAAGAGGGTTGACTTACCTAGCTCAACATAACAGTTCATAACGCCAGAAACTAGACGTGTGTTGATAGTCTCCCCATTGCGCTCTCTTTCAATTAGCTTCAACACAGCATTTGTTACCTGTAACACAATCTTCATTATGTAGGGAAGAAGACAAATTAGGAATCAACAGACACATCTAGCTAATGATAAATGAGGAAAGATACGAGTGAATTAAATATATCACTTACCATTTTAGTACAACTGCACAAGAAATCTTTAAATTACCACCTAATTGTCTGTAATATCTGTATATGTCCTAGGTAGTAGATTGGTAGACAGCAGGCACCCTGGGAGGGTGGCTGCTTCACACTGCCAAGTGAGTGTGAAGCGGAAACCTGCAATGTCTTACATGATGAGAGGATTGCTGGCGTCTTTTTTCTGTTTCATAAACATGCAGGATAACGGGTAAATCTTGCTATTTATACTTACTCTTGGGCGGATTCAAACGGTTTCGTTGGAAATAAAGCCAAATCGGAAGAACTGTTACAAAAGATTAAATACATCGGGGAATTATAGACTAGCTAGCTAAGAGAGTTGTCCAGTATTTTAAGAGGACCACCACCATGAAGATATGTGTAGTGTGCAGAAAGGGTAAGGGACGAAGACAGGCCTGGACTGCTTGCCATCTCTGTGGTCAGTGGTCCCATAGTACATGCAGGGATTTTAAACTACATCTGATATACCCTTGAAGAGTTTTGAGAGAGTATCTACTCTGAGCCCAGCCATGGGCCAGGCTCATCTGGTGCCTGCCTGGTCAACCAGGCTGTTGCTGCTGGAGGCCTGCTGCCCCACATATCCATCACAGCCTGGTTGATCTGGCACCTGGTCAAGATACTTGTCCAGTTTCCTCTTGAAGGCTTCTACACTGGTTCCAGCTGTGTTTCTGATATCCTCTGGTAAGATGTTGAACAGTCTGGGACCACGGATGTTGATACAGTGTTCTCTTATTGTCCCCACTGCACCCCTGCTCCTCATTGGCTTTATTTTACACTTCCTCTCATATCTTTCATTCCAGTATGTTATGGCAGTGTGCAGATTTGGGACCAAGCCCTCGAGTACCTTCCAGGTATGTATTATCAAGAACCTCTCTCTCCTCCGCTCCAATGAATACATGTTGAAGACTTGCAGGCGTTCCCAGTTTAGGTGCTTTACAGGCTCAATGTGAGCCATAAACAATCTCTGCATTTGTTCCAGCTCGGATATTTCTCCTGCCTTGAACGGGGCCCTAAGCAATGAGCAATATTCTAAGTGAGGGAGCACTAGCGATTTGAAGGGTGTCACCATCGGCAGTATTTCCCACCAATATTTCCCACCCCGTCATCTTCCTGGCTGTCGTGATCTTTGTCTTGTTATGGTCTTTAAAAAAAAGGTCCGCTGACATAATTATTCCTAGGTCTTTTACACGTTCCTTACTATTTACCACATTTGACAAACTCGGAGATATTTTTGGGTCTGCCCAAACGAGATACACCTGTATGAGGAAATGACATCTATATTAAAAGACGAACACCAATAAAACATCCTTCTTGAAAGATGTGTCAGCATGGTATGACAGCTGGGAAAAAAAGATGGGTGGTAGGGGCTGTCTTGGACAGTGCTCCTGAGGGGGCTAGTGCCCTCCTGGAGGACAGTGCTGAGGGTGCTAGTGTTGTCCTGGAGGAAAGTGCTCCTGAGGGTGCTAGTGCTGTCCTGGAGGACAGTGCTGAGGGTGCTAGCGTTATCCTGGAGGACACTGAAGACAACTTTATTCAGTCCACAGAGGTTCAAAATAGAGATACTGCTGGAGATGGATCAAAATGGGATGAGGCCTCAGGGAATAGTGTCAACACACTACCAGCAAAACCTAGTGGAAGCACTGATGTCTATACAGGGGTAAAAGATATTGAGGAAACAGGAAAAATAAATGCACCAGCAGAAATGCAGCTACAATAAATCCTAGCAAACAGAAGTACAATCCATGTAAATACTACGCCTTGGGTATCTGCAGGCACGGTATATCCAGTAAAACAGGTGGGACATGCACCTTTGACCATCCCAAAAAATGCTTCACCCACATAACAACTGGAGAGTGCAACTTCCTTTCTTGCAACTTATTTCACCCAAAAATGCGTCGCTCATCAATCCGTGAAAGAAAATGTTACAATGCATACTGCCAGGCACATCATCTAAAGGGGACTAGAAGACACAGACAAGCCAGACTATGGGAAACAGGTGAGAGGAACCACAACCTCTCCAGGGACAGAGGTTTTTTAGGGCCAGAAGGTAAAAAACACTGGCAAGAAATGACAATAATCCTACACCACCTGAAAACACTTCTGGAGCAGAGGCATGGACATTGGCCTCTACCCCAGAACAACAGATATTAGAGTCAGCAAATAAAACCCCCCTAAATTCCACCAATATAACATTTATCTTTGCAAACACACAGGGTATAAAGCCGTCAAAAAACAACAAAATTCCTTACATCAAGGGACTGCTCATGGAGTCAAATGCAATGTTTGCAGCATTCACCGAGACACACAAAGGATCATTACGACAACGAAATATGGATCCCAGGTTATATCCTATTCCGATGCGACACACTAAACAGGCAACAGGAGGGGGGGGGGGGGTGGCCTATAGGTCACAGTCGCTCATTTGCACAGAACTACTAAACACCTCAAATTATGTAGTTGAAGTTTTGGGGGTAAAGATCGAAAACCAAAACCTTGTCATTGTGGTAGCATACAAGCCTCCAGATGCAACTTCCCAGCAATTCCAGGAGCAGCTTGAGAAAATTGACCACTGTCTGGAAAACCTCCCAACTCCTGCCCCAAACATCTTACTACTAGGAGATTTCAACCTGAGACACCTAAAATGGAGGAGTATAGCAAACAACGTTTCAGCAGAGATCACCCCGGGAGGCAGCTCAGGTGAAGATTCACACACACACGAACTATTAAATCTTTGCAACAAATTCACCTTAAACCAGCAAACAGTAGAGCCTACAAGACTAGAAAATATGCTGGACCTCATCTTCACTAACAATGATGATCTGATACATAATATAACCGTATCAAAGACAATTCACTCAGATCACAACATAAGAGGTACAGACATGCATGCACAGGGCTCTGGACCAGCAAAATGTGAGCAGTCATGAAGGTCTCTTCACGAAATTCAATTTCAATAACAAAAACATACAATGGGATCAAGTAAACCATGTCCTAAATGAAACAAGCTGGGAAGATATCCTAAACAACATGGACCCGAACATCTGTCTTGAACAAATGAATTCTGTGGTTCTTGAGATCTGCTCAAGACACATTCCATTAAGAAAAAGAAAGAGAAGATGTAAACTAAAAAGAGAGAGACATTCCCAATACAGACGAAGGTGAAGAGTCACAGAGCTCCTAAGTGGGGTCAATATATCTGAAATACGAGGCACTAGCCAATGAAATTGCAAATATCGAACTTAAGCTGAAAGGATCTTATAGGAGACAAGAATCACAGGAAGAACTAAAAGCCATAAAGGAAATTAAAAAACAAAATACTTCTTCTTTTATGCCAAATCTAAGGGAAAAACAGCATCTAGTATTGGGCCCCTGCTTAGGAGGGATGGGGCATACACAGATGATAGCCCAGAAATGAGCGAGATACTAAAGTTCCAATATGACTCGGTGATCTTCAGCGATCCACTGCCCACTCTAAGGGTCGACGATCCAAATGTATTCTTTATGAACGAAACCCAAAATTTAGTCATCCCAAAACTCTCGGATATTATTATAACTCCAAAAGATTTTGAAGAGGCAATTAACCCTTTGACTGTCGAAATCCCAAATCCTGAGGTGTCGCCTGGTGTCAAAAAATTTTCTTTATGAACAAAAAAAAATTTTAGTATCCCAACTTCGTATTGTATAACTCCAAAAGAAAAATGAAATTAACTGATGTCGAAATCCCGAATCTACGTGTCGCCTGAGTGTCAGAAAATTTTTGGTAATAAAAAAAAATTTTTAGAAATATAGAAATTTGTCTGATAGTAGTAATAGTAACAAATAGAATAATAGTTAGATGGTAAACGAAGTATACGCTTAGAAGAAGTAAGAAGTGAAGTAATGTTGTAGAAGTAGTAGTAGAATGTATGTAGTAGTAAAGAGTAGTAGAAGTAGTAGTAGTTGTAGTAGTAGTAGTAGTAGTTAGTAGTAAGTAGTAGTAGTAGTAGTTAGTAGAAGTAGTAGAAGTAGTAGTAGAAGTGTAGTAGTTGTAGTGTGTTGTAGTAGAGTTGTAGTTGTTGTTGTAGTAGTTGTAGTTGTTGAGTAGTAGTTGTAGTGTAGTTGTTAGTAGTAGTTAGTTGTTGTGTAGTAGTTGTAGTTGTTGTAGTAGTTTGTTGTTGTAGTGTGTAGTTGTTGTAGTTGTGTTGTTGTAGTTTAGTTGTTGTAGTTGTAGTAGTAGTTGTTGTAGTTGTAGTTAGTAGTGTAGTTGTTGTAGTATTGTTGTATGTTGTTGTGTAGTTGTTGTGTTGTTGTAGTTGTTGTAGTGTTGTAGTTGTAGTGTGTTGTAGTGTGTTGTTGTTGTTTGTTGTAGTAGTTGTAGTTGTGTAGTTAGTAGTATTTGTTGTTGTTGTTGTTGTTGTGTTGTAGTAGTTGTTGTGTGTTGTTGTTGTTGTTGTGTTGTAGTGTGTTGTTGTTGTAGTAGTTGTTATGTTGTGTTGTAGTGTAGTTGTGTTGTTGTTGTTGTAGTAGTGTGTATGTGTAGTTGTTGTGTTGTTGTAGTTGTTGTTGTTGTAGTAGTTGTTGTTGTTGTGAGTGTGTTGTAGTGTGGTGTGTTGTAATGTAGTTGTGTAGGTTGTAGTGGTGTTGGTGGTGTGGTGTTGGTGGTGGTGGTGTTGGTGGTGGTGTGTTGTGGTTGTGGTGGTGGTGTTGGTGGTGGTGGTGTGGTGGTGGTGGTGTGTTGGTGGTGGTGGTGTTGGTGGTGGTGGTGGTTGTGTTGGTGGTGTGTGTTGGTGGTGGTGTGTTGGTGGTGGTGGTGTTGGTGGTGGTGGTGTTGGTGGTGGTGGTGTTGGTGGTGGTGGTGTTGGTGGTGGTGTTGTGTGGTGGTGG